ATTAATTTGTACCTCAGTTAGGTTTGCAAAACCAAAGTCCATTCCTCTACTAATAGCTGCCAACTCAACCAGCATGCTTGCATGCATGCGTGTAGCCATGACAGATGGAGGAAGTATGTGGGAACATATTAACCTTTGTGCCCAGTCGAGGACGGTGTCTCTGACCTATTTAAGGAAAGTTTCACTGTTTTTTTTAAACCTAATTGTTTTTTTTGTTTTTTTTTGTTGTTTTTGTTTGTGGAGCTGTCCCCGGCGTAAACCTCAGGAATGTTTAATATTCTAAACTAAACTAAACCACCGCCCGTCCAATCTGCAGGTACATGTGAAACAAAATGAGCTAGACCAGGGCTATTCAACTGGCGGCCCATGGGCCATTTCCGGCCCGCGGGTGATTTCAATCCGGCCCACTTCATAAAAAAGAAAACAACATATATATATTTTTGGGGGGTTCTGGGTTTGAGTTCTGCTTATTGCATTTATGATTCAATGCGATAAAATAAACCAATTTAAAAGATAACAGATCATTGTAATACTTGGGTTATTTACATAATGACTTTAATCGCTGGATGTTTGGCCCCCGAGCTGTTGGCTTTAGACCGTTTGAAAAATCATAAATCTGTTTTGATCCTTTTTATTCTGAATCAAAACCAATTCAATTCCATTTCATTTATAAAACGCCTCACTGGAACAAAGGGCAATAGAATAAAACAAATGCAACTCATTGAACAACGCTGGAAATACAAGCCGAACGAAAACAAGAATAAAACCATAAAAACCGACACGTATCAGCTAACAGAAGTCAAAGAAAAGAAAAGAGTTTTAAGCAAGGATTTAAAAAGAAGCTAAATCTAATGTGCAATGGCAATTTGTTCCATACCCGTCCACATTTTTATGAACTAAAGAATGAGGTAATGTTATAGCAGTGACCCCACAGAAATATCTTTTAACACCGCATCTTCACGTAAGCTCTCCAAAGGTTTTATCAGCTCTCAGCTAATTGGATTTATGACCTGCAGCCGTTTTGTGCAGAAAAAGCTTTAGATCTCAACAGTATCTGCTCAGGACTATGCATCAGGTGGACTACGGAGGCGATGGGTTGATAAACACGGTCGAGATAATATCGCACCAAAAACATAAATCCTAAATAATAATGGCTGCGCTCTGCTCGTTATGTTCACGATGTTTAAACAGGCAACATCTACCAGCTTTAGTGTATTAACAATCTTATTTCATAAATCTTTTTTTTTTTTCCTGTCTAATTGTATAAATAATAAAACACAGATGAATGTGTTGAGCAATTCTCCCTCCAGGGGGAACCCATCCATCAGCGTTAACTCTGACAGAGTTAAAAGCTGTGATTTCTTCCTGATTGTTCTTTCTCCTTTTGTTTACCCAGCACCCAGACGCTTTTAAATCTTCTTTAACTCCGAGCCTCCTTATTTTACGTTTGCCCTTTTTGTCTTCATTAAAATAATTTTAAAAAAGTGTGCTTTGGTGCAACTTTCTGCTTCTTAGAGCTCATAAAAGAATCTGTGCCAGCACACACAGAAAGATGTTGTATAAAGAGTGCACGCACACACGCACACACACACACACACACACACACACACATGGACCGAACCAATCGTTTGAGGTCTCTGAGGCCTCGATAAGCTCCTGTAAATCAGCCACCACCCAGCAGTGAGTTTTATTCCCCCCTCTCTCTCAGTGGATGTTGGGTTATGACCCGTAGGCAGGAGGCATTTATTGCTTTTGTCTCAGCCTGCGTTGACTCTCAGCCTCTCATCGATGGTTGTAGGGTAACAGAGAGCAGCAAAGGATTGCAGAGGGCCTGCTTATCTGCAGACATTCTGCTCGATATTCCCCTTCGGAGCCTCGTTTCTTAATGCGCCTTAATTTCTGCATTTTCAGTAACGGCTGAATCGAAATGAAGCTAAGTGGACCAGAGGTGAAGAGTACCTATCAATAAGTATTACTGTTAACGTGGCGCAGAGAAAGGAGGCTTAAACAGCTGGGGGAGGCCGACAGAATATAAATAGTTCCTAGAGCCTGTTGTCAGACTGTCAGCAGCCTGTTGGCCTCCACTCTCAGAGATGGATCCTTCTATCTTGGACTAAGTTGAGGTCTTAGAGTGGAAAACGGCAAAAATTGAAGCAACTGTCAAAGTAACTGTCAACACTTCTGGCTTTGATTGATCCTGATGTCAAATACTGTCCGATTCTTAGTTTGGATTTTTGTCAATTGTAACTAGTTTACAGCATCAAGAGTCCATTTTCATTACACAAAGCACCAGGGGTCTTCAGTTCTGGTCCTCGAGAGCCACCATCCTGCATGTAGGCCTGTCACGATAACAAATTTTGCTGGGCGATTAATTGTCTCGGAAATTATTGCGATAAACGATAATATTGTTTGAAATTTGACAATAATTAGTAATTATTGTCAAATTTAAGATGAAATGCTGGTTGATTTGTTTTGAGTGTAGTACCTATTTTTGACCACCGGATGACAGTATAAGACTGTTTGAACTGAAGAATGGATAGAGAGGGAGCGAGCGGCGTGTCTCTTTAAGAAAAATGGGAGGGAGGCCCCTTGAAGTGACATGGGCTGTCTCTCTCTCCTATTTTTCGGTTCTCAAAAAGGCGAACGCTCGGTGTGGTTTGAGCTCTTTAGCAAAGCATTTTTCACACTAAGCTTTTAATTAAAAAAAAAAACAGTAAACAAGTTCTCAGCTTCTTTTTGCAAAGAAAAACAACTTTTTACACAAAGGCTCGGGTTTCAACCGTGAATTTTGGAGCTTCAAGGAAACGGAGGTTTTATCCCCGAGGTCGGCACGTTAGCTTAGCTCGTAGCTTAGCTTCTCGTCTTAGCTGCTTTTAATGATCCAAAAACATGATTTGGGACAATTAAAAAAAAATTTAAAGAGAAAGGGAGGGGGTCAGTGAAGAACACCGGAGTTGAGCCTTTTGTCATCCAGTGTCTTCAGTAACGAGACATGAAGAAGCGATAAAGCCGATAAATGAAAATGAGGTTGATAATTTTCATTTATCATGTGATTAATTGATTAATTGATTTATTGTTTATTGCGACAGGCCTTCCTGCATGTTTTAGATGTTTTCCTGCTCCATCACACCTGATCCAGTGGTTAAATCACCTCTTCATGTTCTGCAGAAGAAACACCCATTGATCCAAATCAGGTGAGTCAGAGCAGGACCAGGAATGGACACCCCCACTCTAAACAGACACTCTTCTCAGAACTAAGGCTGACTGAACCTTCCTGCGAGCAGCTGGGAGTTTCATGGAGGTCAGGTCGTTCAGCTACTTGTCCCTGATCTCCAGGACCTCTACCTGTGGATGTGTAATGGTCGGCGTTCACCCTTGCTTTATGGGCTGTGAGACTGTGTCCACAGTTTAATAATAAATCCAGGTTGGTAATGATCAGACTTGCAACAGAACTTTTGTTTTCTTTATTTTATTTGAACCTCACTAACTCCCAGTTAGCTCCACGCTTCCCTCCATTTAATTCTGGTTTAATCAGAGTTCACATTAACTTCACGATGCCCCAGTTTTTAACGGGCTTTGTTCACTCGTAACTCATTTAATGATTTGTATTTAGTGTATTAAATCCCTTTCATATTTAAAGCTCTGCTGGTTTTTACTTCCTGTCTGTCTGATGTCAGGATTTTAACCCTGAGAGTGACAACCTGATAACGTTCAAACAGCTTAATCAGCTTTCACATAATTATTTATTTATGTTTAGTTTCTTCTGTATGTTTTTTTTTTTTTTGGCCATAAACCACATCTGGACACAACTAGTTTGTGCTAATTTAACCACTCAAATATCAAAACTCGATCCAGAACAGAGTGCCGAGACTTTTGCTTTTTGTAACTTTTTTTACTTTTCAAATTATTTAACTTTATTTGAATTAAAACTTCCCAAAGAAAAATTAATTCTCTACACTTTCTTCTAAAACCTGTGCTTGAGCATACTCTCTCAGCTTCGTTTTCTTACGCAACTTTTTAGCTTATAGCTACCGTTATGCTTGTTTTGGCTACCATCTTGATATTTAAGCATCTAACTTACGCTCTTTTACCTTTTAGCTACATGTTTTGCTCATTTTAGCTAAACCTATTTTTTTAGCTTCTAGCCACAGTTCTGCTGCTTTTAGCTTGTATGGTTCACTTTAACAAATCTGTGTTAGCTTCTTCAGCAGATTTTCTTCTAGTCATTCAGTTGTATTGTTGCAATTTCTCTACTTAAAATGTGTGTTTATGCTGCTTGCTGGACTCTAAATGGACGTATCAGCTAAAGTTTTTTATGGCAGGGCCGTTAAATCAGGTTTAAGAAGTTCGGCTACAACAACGCCTTCTTTCTCATTCACGCGCCGCTCAGAAACCTCAGTTTCAGCTGTCATCCTCTGCAGCAGACAGCTTAAACCTGAGCTGGCTGCACCTAAACGGCCCACCTGCTGTCGCCACATTGCTGACGGCAGCTGACAGTGAAGAGGAACAACCCCAGACTGACGATATGTGAAGGTGAGGGGAGATGGAGGGGGTCTTTGACTGATGACAGCGTGTGTGAGTTTGATGTAATGGAGACAAGGCCAATGACTGATGCCATGAAAGAGGCCAAAGTCTGTCTGCTCCACTTCACAGCCATCCATATCAAAGATCTATGTCTGCAGGCGCTCACAGCTAATAGATGAATTCTGCATCAGTGTCATGTTCTTATATATACTGTATATATTTATGAAGGGCAGAAGCCTGTGTGTGTTTTCTCACAGTCAGATGGGCTGAAGCTGATGGATACATGTCAGGAAACAAGCATGTAACACCTACAATGTGTTTAAAGAAATAAACTAAACAGACAGAACTACAGGAATAAAACCTCTGGAGTGACGTTGCAAAGATCGCATCCGTTTGACAAAACGCTTAAAAATCATGGGACTTCCCAGAAGAGTTTCCAGGGATCGTGTCGCCTCATCGACCGCTTTAAAACAAACCTTTTCACGAGCTCCGTCCCATTCCAGCAGGGGGTGTCACCAGATGCAAGCTCACGCACGCACAACTGATCTGGCAGGCCAATGTAGAACGTGAGATAGGAGCGCAGGCTGCTCAGAAACTCCCTGGAAAAAAAAAAAAGATGGAGGGAAGCCACATGTGCACACACAGATCATCCTCTCACATATTGTCTGTGCATCTTCAGGAGCACTCTGCTTTCACACACTTACCTTCTCTTGACAGTAAGTGAGACTCCCGGTGTTCTGTTAGCAGCTCTGGGTGGGATGGAAACGGTGCTGCTGCTCTCCAGGACGCTCACGGACTGAGCAGGCTTCCAGCTCGGAGGACCACACTTCCTGTGAACCTGCATCCAATAAAACAATAAAACAAACACTAATTCACTTCTATACTCTAAATCCTCTCGGCTTGTTAAACATTACAGAGGCCTTCTATAAAAATATTTCTGCTTAAAAGAGATGCAGGTCAGCGTATGAGCAGTTACAGAAGTCATCCACTAGATGGCGCTGTGGTGTCATTAGATCAACAAAGTGCAGCTCAGGAACAAAAGTTCACTTTACAACTAACTGTGCAAGCACAAAAACACTGCTACCTGAGAAAATCAGACTTTATGCTTCAGCTTTTATGGGTGATGACGGATAAAGACCACCTATAAAAGATGATAAATGGTTGGAGGGTTGGGTTGTAGATGTTTGCTCTGCATGACTACTTTTCTGTTTGGAAGTTGAAAGTCTGAATGCCTTGCAGTTCCCCACATGGATACATTTCTGAGAAACGAAGGCTGTTTCTCCCTCAACTCATCTGATTTTTGTGTGAATAAAGTCCAATTCAAGTGATTAATCTTTGATTTAAACACAGCATGTCTGACATGGACCAAGCAGCTGTAGAAACGTCAGAGTAAAAGCTGCTCGGCTCCAGTACGATTTACCTTTATACCCAGTCAGATTTTCAAGGGACGCTAGTTTCACCTTTCTGCAACCCCAATTCCAAAAATGCTTGGGCGTTGTGTGAAAATTAAATAAAAACCTCATAATTTCTTATCAATGGAACAAACATCCAATGTTAAAACTAAAATAAGCCAGTTGTTGGGAGGTGGGGGTAATTTTAAGGCATCAACATATTTTAAAATGAACTCTTCTTTTTAGAACGGTCTTTAAACATCTAGGACCTGAGCAGACCAGCTGCTGGAGTTTTTGGAGAAGAACATTGACCCGTTCTGGTCTGATGGAGGACTCGAACTGTTCCAAAAGCCCCGACTTTTCTTTCTAGGTCTTAAGATGGATGGGAGCAGATGTTGTTCTAAAATGTTCATATACTTTTCTGTAATAGTGATGCCTTGCCAGATGTGTAAGATGCCCATGTCAGAGGCACTAATGCACCCTTATACCATCAGCGAGGCAAGCGTTTGAACTGATAGCAGGCTGGATGGTCCCTCTCCTCTTTAGAACAGAGGGCAGCGTCCACATGTGGACTCTTCTCTGCACGATAGAGCTTTAGCAGCGTTTGTGGACGGCCTGGTGAACTGGGTTTACAGACAACGACCAGTGGAAGTAATCCTTAGCCCGTGCAGCGATGTCCAGAACAGAACCAGGCCTGTTCTTAATGCAGTGAAGATCCAGTATTGACTCTTACGCTTGGCATTTGAGCTCAACAATTTCAAGATTCTTGAACTATTGTGATGATGATATGAACCGGACATGATGGGATATTCAAAATCCTTTATTTTGTTGAGAAACATTATTCCGAAAATGTTTCACTATATTAGACATTTTTTTTGCAGACTGGTAAACCTCAGCCCATCTTCACTTCGAAAATATTCAGCCGCTCTAAAATGTTCTTTTTATACCTAGTCCTCTTACTGTTGCTAATTAACCTAAATACTTGCTCCTCCAGCCTGTCAACATTTTTAAAATATGTTGCTGCTTTAAAATTTAAACATATTTTTAATATTTCTTAGTTTGTCTGTTTGTAATTTAAAACATGTTGCAGTGTGAATAAAGCATGGCTTCATGAGAATGTCTTGTTTAAGTTGCACACCACGTGCCAGCGTTTGTGGAACTGGGTTTGTAAATTCGATCTGTGCTGATGAGCAGAACCTGTGTTGAAAGGCGAGCTCTGTTTTTCTCAGCGTGTCCGATAGCATCACGAAGCACCGCGTGAACTCCCAGAAGCACCGGCTCCAAGTCCTGAGCTCCATACATCTTGGCTGACAGGCCCTCCAGTGAGCGAACAAACTCCCTCCAGTGGGCGTCGATCTCCGCCATGCTGGCCAGGCACCCCCGCATCACGTTCAGGCAGTAACCCATGCAGGGCTTGGACTCGGTCAAGCCCTGTGGAGGAAGCTACAGTGAGATCAGCGCTGCCAGTAAAACATTTATTCAGATCGATACGTGCGCATTAAGACGTGCATCCGTACCTGGCAGTGAGGACAGTAGTGCATCTTGAGCAGGGCCCGCCTGCACTCGCGGCTCAGCTGTAAGTGGTCTGTGGTATTGATGACCTCGATGCTGAGGTGCAGCGCTTGAAGCAGAAGCCTCCCAGACACCCCGGAGCGAGTAATCTGATCAGCAAGGAGGTCCGGCACGGCACCGAACGGTCTAATGTTGCGGTTTATCGACCTCACGCACTCTGCGTACACCGGCGATAAGTGGCCGACTCCGGGGTTTGTGATGTGACCGTAGACGAGCGGGAAGAGGCCGTCAAAGAAACGCTGCACAAACCCGTCCACGTCCAGCTCCGAGCCCAGCAGGAAGAGCCCAATGTCAGTGAAGAGTTCCCCCACCGGTCCCGCAGCCTGATCGGCCATTTTCTGATAGGACGCCTGGAGGAAGGCATTGGTGTAGTTCTCCCCCTGCCTCATCAGAACCTCAAACGTCTCTGAGGAATGAACAAATACACACATTAGAGGAGTTGTAGCGAACTAATGTGGAAAAAGAGAAAACCTGAAGTAAGACGCAACTCCCAGCACTGTTCAAAGCAAAGGTGGAGCGATAATGTTTATTCCCTATGTCACTGTGTTTGTTTGTCTGTTAGCAAAATATTTTGTGCGTCACTGAACAGATTTTAATTAAACTTTAAGAAACTATAAATTGGCTGTACATCTACAGCAGATTAACGTTCAGATTCAGTACAAATCAAGATGAGCAAACGTCAAAGTGGTTAAACTCGTCAGTTTTAACGATACCGAGCTAAAATTTGGTGTGGTAGTAGCTGAGAGTCAGTCACAGCATAGACTCCAAGCACGAACACATCATGAATGATATTTCAATATTGCGTGAGATCATGTAAGTTACCATACTTTTCGCTGTGTAAGCCGCACCTTTTTGCATAAGTTAGCATGCCCTGCGACTTACACAGCGAAACGACTTATTAGTTGTTCCCTCCCATAATTATAAACCAATTTTTGACTATTTCATTCATTCTGACATGGAAAATATTGAACCGTTAATATTTTTATCTAGACTGACCCTGGGTTTTTGATCTGCTCAGAGACGGGATTATAATGAAATTATGATCCGGTTCTTACTGGTTTAAATGGGGCCAGCAACTTTAAAAAGAGTCTCCCAGGGATTCAATATCCGTCAAGGGAGAGAGATTTTATTTATTTGTTATTTCGTTGTTTGCTCGCTCATTACGTAGAAAGGCTTTTTCTGCACCAGTATCATTTTCCTTTCACGTTAAGTCACATAAGGTCCAAAGAGACCACACTTAGTCCCCCCAATCCATGTGATAGGCTGTGCTCCCCTTCTGCAAAAGGAGGAGTCTAGGCCCTATAAATCTGTAACGCCACAGGACATCCGGCCCCCTTCCAGTTCCTGATCTCTTGTCGCATACCGGACCGGCCAGCGTTGTAAACTGTAACCTTCTCGGGCCTTGATTTAATACAGTTGGTAAAACGGAATTCGATTTCCTTGATTTATTAATAGTGTGAGTTGCCGCTTCTGAGGGAAGTTCGAGCCAGGGTGAGCGTGAGCTGGAGGCGGACCTGGGGTCTGAGATGAGGCCTGAGGCCCACGGCTAGCAACAGCTAGCTGCAGTAGCTCGGGGCCCGAAGTCAGCTCTCGTTATTCATTCAAACTTTATTTAGACAGGTAAATCCCATTGAGCCTCGAGGACTCATTAGTATAACGTTATAACTGAACACTACCATTTTCAGCTGCTAGAGGGCGCTCGAGCAATATGGCAAGCCAAGTGTCTCGTTAATAGGTTAAAGTGGCTATTAGTGAGACACTTGGCTTGCCATACAAAGCCACCTTCGTCTCGCTCCGGAACTCTTGGAGCAAACATCAAATCAGCTGCGTTTCGCTGCACCGCCCTGATGAAATTCAGCATTCATTCATTCAACCTTTATTTTTTATTTTTTTTATTTTTTTTTTTTTTTCTGAGCTCAGTTTAAGTGTAGAAACATTGTGAAGTGTTTCAATGAACTTATCATCATCGCTCAATTTTTTTTTTTTTTTTTTTTTTTTTTTTTAAAGAAAGAGAAGAAAGAAGAATAAATAAATAATAAAAAAGAAGAAGATAAGACGAGAGACCACCATGACAAAACAACATGCACAGCACAATGCCACCCACAATATCACCATGAAACATTCAACATCGCACAATGAATCATCTAGCTTCCGCCACTACCCAACCTAGCGTGCATCTGTCAAAGCACCTGAATCCAAACACCCGCGCAAGCACGCCCACCACCACCAGATTTCTCCAAAAGAATGCCCAATAGTGGACGCGGGGGCCCACAGACCCGCCCCCCCAGGACACAATGGCAACATAGGGAGGACCGGAGCCACAGACACACAGCGGCCCACAGGCCCGGAGCCCCAAGAGTCTCCCAACAGGGAGAACCGCACCCCACCAGAGAGGAGCAGAGGAAAGAACCGGGTGACCCCAGCCACCACAATGCAGAGCCTCCAGGAAGCTGCAACGACGAGCCCACAGGCCCGGCCAGCGACCCATGCCCCCCCCCAAGTAGATCCGGCCATGGACACCGAGCCCCAAGCCCCGAGGCCATACCACCCCCTAGCAGAGCCCCGACAGAGCCAGGGCACCCAGGCCCCGCCAGGCATTCAACCTTTATTTAAACAGATAAATCACATTGAGCCTCGAAGACTCATTTACAAGTGAGACCTGTTTGGACAGACAAAAACAGTGGTTAACTGGACACATGTAGGAGTTGGAAGCAAAAAAAATTCCTATCTGACTTTTTTGTTTTCCTACCTGAGAAAAAAAAAAACTCTAATATTAATAAAAAACCTTGCACAAACAAGCACATAGTGACGTAGACATTCTGCAGACGGAGGAGACGAGAGCGGTCAGCAATGTTCATAGATGCTCTCGAGGTCACTGTAAGAGTTCTGATAAGGATGGAAAATCAGTCAATGTCCTCCGGTGAGATCCATAAACATTCTCGAGGTATGTCGAGGAATGGCCAAGAATAACAACTATGAGAATCCAAGAGTCCTGAAATGATGACACAAAGTTTATTCAGCTGGTTCCATCTGGTCATCAGTTGGAAATTCCTTAGGGAGGAGGTGGTGAGCGTCAGATTACATGTACTCCAGGCGAATTCAGATAAGATGGCTTTCATGGCCAGCCAAGGGAGCCAACTTCACTTCAGATAAACACACAGTTGTTTTTGGGGACAGGCAGAACTTAATGACATTTACCTTCAGTCTGTGTTGGTCCACTCGGTTCTGTAATATCCAAAATACATGGCCACACCGATGGAACGTGACTGAGTAAAATCCCCAAGATTTGATCCATTCAGCCCAAAGCGTTTGAGTCTGGGCACTCGAGACACGAACCAAGCCATCATAAAGGCAAGCAGCGTGATCGGGTCAAAATTTGCTGCCGACGACTTCCTTGATTGTAAATAAAATCCAGCCACCAGCCGAATCAAAAAAGCAGGAACCAGTTATCGTAAATCCAATTAAATATGCGTCCTTAAAATCCACAGCAGAGATAGACACATCATCAAGTCTTCCAGTCGATGAGATATCCAGCTGCGTGCGTGCCAACAGGGTAAATCGGCTCGCCTAAAGCCTGTCTTCTCTTTGAAGAAATGTTGTAAATTGAGTTGAGGGACCAATCGATCAAAACAAGTCCATAATTATGGTTCGGAAAAAATGCGAGAGAGGCTCACAAGCAGTTTCACAGACAGACAGAGCGCAAAGCAGAGAGGGAGGGGAGAAGCATCCGATCTCGGCAAGAGCAAGTGGTGAAGCAGATTGGACCATCAAAGTGCATTTATTAAGGAAAAGTTTAACTGAGACGCAACTTCACTATAATTTCGAGCAAACAACTAATTGTTTTTAAGTGTTGATCATGTTAAATTCTTGTTAAAGTCCTCCCGTGCACACTCCCACAACTGCCATTTGGCAGCCAATCGATTTTTGGCACAACACCGGCCCTCGTTTCCAGGTTGTCAGCGGCGACATGTAACAAACTTGACACATCGGCGGTGACGCATAACAGACGCGACTTATACAGCAAAGCGACACATTTATGTTTTTTTCCACTTTATTAGACATACTTGAACCGATGCGACGTGTACGGTGGAAAGTACGGTATTTTCATGGTTTGACCAAAGTAACGACGACTCATCACATGATCTAAGTTAAAGCACTCAATGAGAACTAGATTGTTTCTCTGTTACTTAAATGCAAACAAAGTCATGCAGCGGCACGTTTGTACCCACTTTTACACAAAAATACTATTTTCTTCTTTATTTTGTCTTAACAGGAACTGTTTCAGCAGCTCGGCGCAGTCGCCTTAAACCTTTAGTCTCTTTTTTTAAAATGTATTTTTTCAGCTAATGGCTGATCCATGGCCACCCTCAGGTCATGTGCTTGTCAGGAGTTGGGAGGTGAACTCTCAAAGCTGCTGAGAGTCTGGGGGGGGATCAGGGCTTAGATGGTCTTGGGCTGGATAAATAAGCACCTAAAGAGATCGACTGAATGTTCCCTCCCGGTAAAGGGCAGCTGCGAGGGGAAAACGGAGGCAGTGGGGTTTGACGTACCTACAGGCGCAACATCTCAGGTGGAGGAGTTAAACTGTGAGGTGCCAGAGCCTGAACCTGATCTCAGGTCCCCTGTGATCTCACCTGGAAGTGTTAGTCTAACAAGATCTGAGGCTTTGCGGAGAGTTTTTATGTGTAAAGAAAGAAAACTGCTCCTCCTACAAACACGAGCTCCGTGGTCAGAAATCAAAGAAGATCTACCCAGAGGAGCATTGAGAGCCGATGAAATACTGCAGAGCGAGACATGGTATGAGCTCACGGAGTTCCCTCTGAGATGATTACAGGCCTCAGGTACCCGGAGCGGAGCGCAGATTTATGAAGGCTCCCACAGGGATTACAGCACGTGTTTCACAAACGGCAGGGGGCTTCGAACAATAGATTATAAACTTAATGAATCCCGTCTGTCAATTCTTATAACAGATGGCTGTGCTCAAAACAAATTTGTCTCCGTTTCATCTGTCGTCGCTCCTTTTATTTCACGTCCAAGAACAAGAGGCTGGAACTTACAGGTGGGCGTTTATAAACCAGGGAGAAATCATAAATCTGTAAAACGGCGCGGAAATGGAGAAACAAATGAGAGAAAACTATTAAAAAGCACTAAAAACGAAAAATATTCTTCACGGTGATAATAGAAACAAATATTGTGTAACTTGTTCACCATGAATTTTAATAAATTGCCCAAATTAAATAAAATAATAATAAAAATGAAAAGCTAAATTAAAAAAATAAACTCCAATGTAAAGGAAAAACTTGTTTAGATGTTGACTGATGTGATTTTTATTTATTTATTTATTTATTTATTTGGTGGCTGGTGTCCATCTGTAGAAATAAGAGCAACTAGGGCTGGACAATGATT